TGACTGAAAGAAAGCAAACAAGAAACAATCTCCTCATCAGATTTCCCAGCCTACTCGTGGAGGTTGAAGCAGGGTGATGAGCGAAAAGAAAGAAAAAAAGACATAAGGAAGTAGGCATGGATAATGGAAGGGCAGGAGGGGACAAAAAAGGGATAAGGAGGAGGGAGGGACCAGGGGAGAGATGAAGGGAGGGAGGGAGGTGTGAAAGAGAGCAAGAAAAGAAGTCATGGAGGATAGAGCAGATGAGAATGAATGAATGAACAGGGAGAAGGAAAAGAAGTTGATGAATAATCCGGAAAGAAAGCGAGCTATGAGGGCTCATGCCCTGTGAGACAACAGCGAGACAGCCCTGGTGTAGGATCAAAATGGAAGCAAGTTCAAGCAACAGACCAATCCCCGATTTCGATACAACATTCTCAGATTTCGAAGGCGAGAAGCAGTGGGGGCGATTCGATGAGGGACCTAGCCAGATTTTGTCTTTGATGCTGAAGAAAATACCCCCTTTCACGACGAGCTTGAGTCTTCGCAGCGGGGAGAAGTGCGTGGGTGTGGGTTATAAGTAAAAAAACTCCACCTGGAGGATCTATTCCAGTCTGAAGGCACCATTACCCTGTCGGGTACCAGTCATAGCTTCTTCTCATCAGATAGGACAGTCTCGTGGCCTGGAGATCCCCGGCCTGAAAACAATGGTCTGGGCCAGATCTGGGCGAGAAGTTCAGGAGCCAAAAGTTTTCCCAGGAAGAATCTAAGCCATTCAAAACTTGATCAACTGCCTAGAACACATTTGCACATTTGCTCCCACATGGCCCAGCTGCAGCCAGCCTAGACTGGTGCTGCATCATGAGTAGATTCAAAACCAAACTGCTCACATTGCTGAACTCGAGAACGCAGCTGAGAGCCAAACAACTCTGCCGCAATGGACCTGGCGCCACACACACACACACACAGAGCTTGGCTTTGAATCTTCTTATGATGCAGCACCGGTCTAGGCTGGCTGCAGCTGGGCCATGTGGGAGCAAATGCGCAAATGTGTTCTAGGCAGTTGATCAAGTTTTGAATGGCTGAGATTCTTCCTGGGAAAACTTTTGGCTCCTGAAATTCTCACCAAGATCTGGCCCTGACAATGTTTTTCAGGACGGGGATGTCCAGGCCACCTGGCTGTCTACTCTGATGAGAAGAAGCTATGGCTGGTACCCGACAGGGTAATGGTGTTTTCAGACTGAAAAACCAAAAAACTGTCTAATTGTAAAATTGCTTACACGTTGGACTGTCTCAACTCAAGTGCTCTGATGGTCTGTGCCAAGTCTGAATCTACTCATCTGGGTGGAATTGGGGTTGTTGTGGGGGAAATCTAAAAAACCCACACCCACATAGTGCGAGCGCAACCCACACCACACCCACATGGTGATAGAGCACATGCACTTGCGTGAGAGAGAGAGAGAGAGAGAGAGAGAGAGAGAGAGAGAGAGAGAGAGAGAGAGAGAGGAGGGGGGAGGGGGGAGG